ATAATAGGATAAAACAAATCCTAGGCATCATATAATACCCACCTTTCCACAACGATAAACAGAATAAGGTTTCTTTTTGTGTGTTGTCTTCAACTATTGATAATGTGTTCACACCTTTCCTAAACCCTATGTATGAAGAAAAAAATTAAGTAGAAGGCTATATCGTAAATAATGGGGAAAAGTATTTGTAATCTAACAGGGGGCAGAATATTTGAAAAATTATGAAAATTATTCAATATTGTTTTCTATGACCAATTGCAAAAATACTAATGTCAAACCTAACAGCTAACTTGTCTATGTTTAAACGACAATTGTGTTACCACCCAGAAATCTTCTGATCTTTTATAACACACCACTGGAATGCTTAGAAAAAAACAGTAAGTTCAGAAATTGAAAGTTACCCATTTAAAATGGACTAATTCTAAAGAGAAGAACATTTTAAATATATATAAGAGAGGTGGAAGAGGGTGTGTGGGGGATAAATGGTGATGGGAAAAAATAATAAAGTGAAACAAGGGAAAAAATAAATGTATATAAGGGAATTCAATACTTTTAAGTGAGCTATTCAATCAGTTGTACAAAGTATTGTTGGTGTAAGTGCAGCATAAGGTCTGTGTTGTTATTTTTTTTAAAGTTCTGATTGGCTACTGCAAAGGCAATCTTAGGAGATATATGTAAATGTAATAAAATCAATTTCCTTATCAATTAAATATTATTTTCCCATTCACATCTCTTAGTTTTTAGGGTACTGAGTTATAGCAATCATAAAGTAAGGTAAGTTACTACTGCTTTGTATTTGGTTAAATATTCAATCAGTTAATAGTTTACTTAAGAGGTTTTGAATTTTTTGTTTCCATGGTTCTTCAGCTAGGCACTTGCACATAAAAACACTCAGAGGGTTTCCCTCTTGAAATATTTTTAATTTTCATGAAAGTGTTACACAGTTAGAATTTGTCTTGCATAGGTAAACTGTTTATAACCAGGATGCTTATAATCCAAAATATTAACATTCTTAATATTGGGAGAAATAAGCATTACTTAAGGTTATAGAATCCTGTCCTAACTCAATATCATAATTAAATGGATTTGTATATATTCTAGATTAAATTAACACCCCCTAAAATTTTACTACACACCATAAGGCCTGACATATGGACTGAATATTGCTCTTAATTCTCCATACTGGCACTGACAATCGATGGTACATAATCTGTGAAGACAGAAACCGACCAAAGCAAACCAAGGAGTTTCCAATGATGCCCAACTTGACTCTTTCCAAATAAAAGATTTCATAAAAGATACACAGATTTTAAGAGACAACAGCAAACATTACTTTAAACAAACAAGCGGAAAAAGTCTTCTCAGATTACGTGCCTGAGCAGAACATTCTGAGATAACATTTTCTGCACTGTGACATGTTAGGGAGTATACTTTAATTTCAAAGTACCATAAAATTGATTGCAAATTCCTTTTGGAAGAAAATAGTCCCTAGTCCCCTTTACTAAACTAATTATTCAAATACAGAAAGGATGGCAATGCTCTTTAATATGGATGGTATGAAGACAACTAAGACACTATAGGACTAATTTCCCACAAGAGTACAAGTTGCATGAAGTGTTAAAAATGGGACTTGCCACAGTGCGTAGGACTAGCTGTTGATGAATCCTTCAACCCATGAGCCATGAAGGCCGGGCTGGTATGGAGCACGAGGCTGACGCTTCTGCCCTTAAACGTTTCTGTGAATGGCTGCTCTGGGTCTAAGCTGCAGGAACACGGCACCTCTGTCTCCTGAGCACACGGACTATGACTCAATGACCCAGGTCTTCGTGGCCACAGTATCAAATCCAGGTTTCTACAGGCTCAACACACTGAAGACTGGAGTTGTATATGGGTCTACTCCATGCAATACATCATGTCGAAAAAGGTCTACCTAATGTCAAAAGCCTAGCTAAGTGTCCTAAGAATATTTTTATATGAAGTAGTGTTTATTTAAGAGGGCCACTCACAAGAGAAATACAGTCATAATGACCACCAGGATCTCCCTTCCTCACGAGCGAAGCTGGACTTGAACTTGGCTGTCAGAGACGTGAAGATGCGGTCTGTAGGCAGCGCTCTTCAGCAACACAGGGGAACGTCACTCGTGGACAGAGCGAGAGGATTCCCGAGCCCCAGGGATAGTCACCATCAGCCAAACAAACGAATCACTATGTAGAGGGCACTGGGTCCAGAAGGTCATGGGTGAAATACATCAATATGGATGACAGGGCTCATGGTCTTTTCCCATGATCTCAGTTAGTGTCATCTGGACCAATAAACTTTTACCTTAGCCAACACTTATCCTATCTTAAAGAGATAAAGTGAAGGGCCTGTAGGTTTCAGTGGGGAAGGAGGCAGGGGTTGGGGACAAGAGGTACTGTGATGACAGAAGGCAGCCGCAGGTCTGAGTGGCTTGGGTGAAAGCTGAGGGAAGGAGCCCAAGAGGAGAAATAAGATGAGAGAGCAAACCCTGTTAGGGGCGGCTCTGGTTTGACACCTGTCTCGCTGATGAAAGCCTCTGCGCTGTTATAGTTTTAATATACTATGTGTGTACACAACTGATTCTGTATCATTCCTTGTGCCCACAGAGCGTGACGCTCGGGAATTTAGCTGAATTCTAGCAGTTAAAATAGAATTCATAAGCAGAGTACCTACACAGGTTTTGTCCTTTGTCGCCTTGTGGATTTTTCCCACAACATGGTTTTTATAAAGATGCACGAGCTAGGGGGGGAAAAAAGCCCCAACCTGATCCATTATGTACAAATACATCACAGAGCCTCTGAGGAGGGAAAAACAGGCATATCTTGACTTACTGAGATATTTCGAAATATTAAGGACTCTTAAGCATCAAAAGACAAAATATACAGACCACCTGAGGTCAGGGACAATGTAAGATACACTTTGTAGATTTTTATCTGCTTTCCCAAGAACTGCATTCAACCCAGACATCACCTATGACCACCAGGTGGGCAGAGGATGCTGGGGGACACAGGACTCCGGGCAGCTCACCACGCAGCTGTGACACAGGTGCGCCCACCCACGCAAATGGATTTTATGACATTTCACATAAATAGCCCGTGAGTAATTGTTCCTTTAAGAAGCATTACCTTTTTAGTTTATATTTTTAAAAATTGAGGACTGGATCGAATAGTCTGGACTTCTGATCATATGAGAGAGAGGAACTGCTAAGAGGCGCCGTCAGCAGGAACATCTGCTACGAGGTGTCGCGGCCACTGCCTGGGTGACCCGGCTCAAGGGCATGGCCTTCCCAGGGGACACGGAAGCCAGTCAGAACTGCAGAGCGCTAATGCCGCTAGATGTTGCTTAGTAGTCTCAAATAGTAAGTCACCAGAATTGTATGTTTAAGAATAGTACTGAATTTACTCATGTATTTATACAACTGACGCCGTGGAATAAAAAATAACCCAAATTAAAAAAAACACACAAAAAAAACCTTAGATGTATAGTCTTAGGAATTTAAGATTTAAATATTGGGGCAATCAAGTGCGATATGGGAAGCTGGCAGGAAAGTTAAAAGAATGGAGAGGTTTGCGAACCCTTCCCGAGGCGGGAAGGGCGATTCCGACTTGGGCTGCTCAGCGTCGGCTCGTCTGCCAGGCGTGTACCCTGAGAACACTGCGTGGTGACCGTCATACAGCAGGCACAGAGGTCAGCACGCGTATCAGACACACGAAATGCCTGTCGCTGCGGCAAACACCGTATTAACTTCGGCAGATGCTGTGGCTGGAGGACCATGTCGGAAGTCTTCAACTCTGTGCTTGGTTTTCATCCAGACCGGAGCCCACGCCAGGCGAGCCCGCGCCAGCAGCTGCCCCGCCTCCCGCCCTCGCCCGCGGACCTGCGGCGCCAGCGGCCACCGAGAAAACCACCGGGACAGCAGGGCGC